TGTGGCCTGATGCATATGCAATACCAATTCAGGAAGCTACAACTGTAGCTTCAGCTATTAGTGATTTCTTCTTCAAATTTGGTATGCCATACGAACTGCATTCAGATCAAGGCCGTAACTTCGAATCAGCTGTGTTCCAAGAATGCTGCAAGTTGTTTGGCATCCGAAAGACCAGGACAACGCCACTTCACCCACAGTCTGATAGGATGGTAGAAAAGTACAACTGGACACTGGGACAGGAATTGGCAAAGTTTTGTAATAACCGCCAAGATGACTGGGATGTCTTACTCCCTCCACTGTTGATGGCCTATAGGACGACAGAGCATGAAGCCACTAGATACACTTCAGCAAAGTTGATGTTTGGTTGGGAACTTCGGTTGCTAGTGGATCTGTTAACAGGACGCCCACCTTATGAAGAGTTCCCTGAAAATGTGTGAGTGTTATCGGAAATGATGGATGATATTCACTCTCAAGTGCATTCAAACTTGAAAACGTCTGCTGATTTGATGAAGGTATCTTATGATAAGAGATCTACTGAAGTCAGCTTTGAACCAGGAAACAAGGTGTGGTTGTATAATCCCAGGAAGACCAAAGGGAAGTCTCCTAAGTTGTCTCCTCCACGGGAAGGCCCATATGACATAGTGGATCATCTCTCAGACGTGACTTTCCTGATAAAATGTGGTCGGCGAGGTAACCCAAAGGTGGTGCATGCCAACAAGCTTTGGCGTTATCATGGTCCAGGACATTTCAGTTGGGACGAAGTGAACAATGGAACAAATGATGCTGCTGAAGACGTGTCACCTGAAAAAGCCACTGTCGAAGAAGAAACTCTACTCAGTTTTGAGAAGGGAAACGGTGAAGCTCTTGATGAAGTTACTACCACTGATGTGACTGTTACCGACGATAGGACATTTCCTGATGAAGCAGATGAACCCCACTTGAAGCAGAAGCCAACTAGATCGAGACAAGTACGGAAGAAGATACGTCCCGTAAAATTAAAAGACTTTGTTGAATTTTGATTTTGTGTTTGTAAATTCTGTACATTTAATTAAGTTATTGTTAATTGTTTATTGGTTTAATGTAAGTGGCTATTGTTCGGGACGAACAATACTAAGGAAGGGGCAGTGTTATGACAGCGGGGGTCACGTTACGAGTATTCTAGAAGATTCGCTAGTGTGTTACGACAGCGGAAGTCAAGTGACACTGGTAGCACGAGTTGAGAGCCTAGAAAATCCTAGAACAGGCGGTATTATCGTATATAAGTGCGCTAGACAGAGAGAGAGAAAAGGCAGAGAGTGGGGAACCAAGGACAGCGGTTACGGTCGGCGGGAACCGAGGATTGCAGATACAGAGATCGGAACTATAATTGCTGACAGGCGGAGACGGACAATTGAGTCAAGCGCGGTAGAAAGTGAATGAATTGTTGTGAACTATAGTGTGTGTAGCCGTGAAAATTAAGTGTATTACAAAGTTGTATTAAGGAAGAATAAACAAGTTTTATTCAAGGAAGGACTGGTATCGTAGAAAAATTAATAAACAAATATACAGATACGTAACAATAAACTCAGCAAATAAAGTCAGCGAGAGACAGATATGCAGATAGATTGAAGATATAGATAATTGAGTCAAGCGATCAGTAGGCACCGTAAGTAAAGTGTGTGAATCACTATGATTTATAGCCTGTGTTATAACAGAAGTTAAGTTTAACGTACTGTGGAATTTCTGTGTATTACTAAAAGTTGTATTGAGAAAGAATAAACTGGTTTAATTAAGAAAGGACTTGTATCGCTGAAGTTCCTCGGAAAGAATTTATACCGAAAATTAACAAACAAGCAGATACGTAACAATATAAATAATACACACAGATGAAACAGAAACGAGACATGTATAAAAAATTCAGACACTTATGTCACAGCATGTCACTGTTTCAGTGTCAGGTGTACCTAACATAAAAAACAATAATCAGTTTTATTTTTATGTGGACAATAATATTAGTAGTAGTTTTTATAACTTCTATAAGTTATAAATACAATTTATAAGTACATTAATCTGTGAAACCAGCACAAAATAATTTTACATAACTTACTAGTTAAAATAGTTTTTCACAATTACGTTTTCCTTCTCAGAATAGGATATAAAATGCAATGATACTTCACCTTCGCATGTTTCAACAATAAGCAGCAAGAAATATATACAATTCTTGGGCGAAAATGGCGGATAACGCATTAACATCCACGAGGATGGTACCGTCACCAATCTAGTGTTTTATACTGGTCTGTTATTTAAACTGTGCCGTATGTCAGCGCCCTCTTTAGAAAAGCACCATATGTAGACTGTGGAGTCGCGTTAGAAGCACGTGTTAACGCTGAGAATTAGACTACCACTAGTATCAAATAGTTTATAATTACGATGGAAGAATTCGGTTTGTATAATTTCCTTAGAGTAAATATTAAAATACTAATAAAAATGCTTTGGGTCTTTTATTATTGGATAATATCGTGTTTTGTTCATATTTTGACGTTATTTCATTTCCTTGTACTCTCACAATGAAGTTAGGCTTAAGAGTAAGACGTTAGTGTTGCTGTTATTTTTCATATTCAATACTAACTTAATACTATTTAGCTCTTAAAAGTTTAATTTTAGAGAATTTTTAATGCAGAAGATTAATGATTTATTGATGATGATGAGGAACCCACTTGAAGTAAATATATAGTAGGGACGGCTGATATGGACAATGAAACCTTTTATTTGAAATTGAAAAGCACAAAACAAGTAACAACTTTTCGACAACCTGATGATGATCTAAGGAGGTCGAAACGTTGTTACTTGTTTTGTGATTTTCAAATAAAAGTTTTCAATGCTCTTACAAGCTATCTTTACTATATATATTAAGGACTTGTGTTACATACGTAACCAAATGATGTATATTACATTTTGATGTAGCTAAAACGTAGTTTACAAAGATAAAAGCATAATTTTTTTTTTATTGTTGTTGTTGTTATATTTTATTTTTAACTAGATACTATACAGTATACCAGTGCTTCCCAAACTTTCAGCTTACAGCACACTTAATGTCCCAAAAATGTTTGCCTTATGGCAGGCCTAGTGGCACCCCCTTGACAAAGACAGGCAGAAATTGCTGTTATACTGTGTATCAAGGAGAAAATAAATCAAATTTTAAAAATTTGTTAAATATATAATAAATTTGTATTACTAATAAATACTTAATGTAAAAAAAATTCCTGAGACCCTTCCACAGCACACAGTCTGGGAAGCACTGCAGTATACCACTAACTAACAAAGTACTATTATATATATATATATAGCCTTAAGATATAGGCTAACAGTAGCAAAGCTACCAACACTCACTTGTGAGACTGATGCATTTAGGCCTATTCTCATGCTCGCATGTATTAGTAAAAAAAAGAAAAATCATGTCTTGGTCAGATTAACTGTACTTTATGATAACTCATTGTGGTTGATTGACTGGATGGATCTAGGTCTAATTCAGCATTACATTGATCTAGGAAATGCATAAGATTGCACCATTCTACTTCATTGATTAAGAGGTATTTTGATAAGAGAATTCCCCCAGACTCCACCTCACAGAAGGCTACTGTCTTCAGTATTTGCAGCATTTTACTGTATGCTGAAATTTACTTTTCTAAAAATTTTACAGCAAAAAAATCATAAAACTTGTAGTTATAAAAAATAATTCTAACAAATTTTATATAGCAAAGGTATTTTGAGATTGAGTTCAGTGTTATAGTAATATTGGTTCTTTAGGCTTATTTGAATGGGAAGCCTAAAAGTTATGAGTTGCTCCACTGCAACACTTTTGTTCATTATTTCCATATGGTACTGTAACTTGAAAGCTGTCCAAATCTGTGCCTCATTATAAACATGTAAGTAAGTACTTTAATTGGACACAGAAGTCATAAACATTGAAATTTATGTACTTAACTCTATAACCAGTAAATTTGGAAATCTCTATTAAATCACAAGTGGTTTAACAATTAAACTCAACTAAATGTAAATACAAACAATCACATTCATGTATATATAATAAAACTGGGCCAAAATCATGTCAAAAAGGGTAGATTTAGTAAACATTACAAACTTCTTGCATTATATGCAACTTACAAAGGCACGTGTTAAAGGTTAAGATATTAAGTTACAAAGAAATGAACACATTTTGTAATTCTACAGGAAACATTAACTTTTACATCACTATAAGCTTTTCATTGTAGATTACCACAGTCGGGTAGATATAACTTGTATCAGCTGGCAGTTCTCATGAACATTGCATGTACAATTATGATTTTATTTCTGTGTGTTGTATGTGAATATCTGCTTCTTCATAAATGTATGTGATATGACAGAATATATTTTTTTATCTTTGAAATATGATGTGAGCCATACCCCATTTATTTTGAATTCTGTGATACAAGGGTCTCAGACTCAAATCCCATTACTTCTAAACTTGCTTGCTTTGTCTTTGTTATAGCGAAGCTTCTAATGGTATCTGCCACTAATTTTGGGAACATTGTTATTAATTATTGGGACTACTGATTAATCAATTATGAAAATTACAACTACTTGCCTAACTCTAGTTTTATGTGTCAAAAATTATATTCTAATTTTTAATGTTAGTTTCATTAAGCTTATTGGATAAAATTCGTAATATCTGTACTATTATTATCAGGGTTTGTTTGTATTGTTACCGTAGTATATGAGTTTAGGACTGACCTATGTCTCATAAGTTATCCAAACCTCATGAAATGATATTGGGATTATGGCTGAAAAATATCAGTAATGGCAAGGGTACCCAAATGATGTATCAGTGCATTTTAATCATTATAAGTTTTCGTCGTGTACTGCTATTTAAAACTATATTAAGTTAACTGTATTATTACTAGATTCATTTTTAGATTTTATCTGTGTAGGTATCTTGGATTGATCGGAAATTCTTGATAATTGTATCCCTAGTGACATTGTGTTCTTGTCAGTTGAAATTGATGCCTGGATTGTAGTACATGTTTAACTAGTATGTTTAAATAAGCCATACTAATTCTAACTAGCTGGTATAATTGCTTTATCTTAAAATATTTAATTCATTTCTATTCTATAAACCTCTAATCAGTATTAGTTTTATTTGCTTTGAAATTTAAAAATAAATCTTACCCATGATTTTTGTATCATATTTAATCAATACCTTTGTATAAATATTTCTGCATGTGCTGTTTACATATCACTTTACTGCCATTATGAGTATAACTTAATATGCACTCTTGCACATATCTTTTTTAACAAAGTTTCACACGCACAGCTGTACAATCAAAAATCTATTGTATAGAAGACAAAAATAATTTTGACATTCTCTTTTATTAAGTTAGTACCTTATATAATACTAGGTGTCATCTTATTTTTCCTGCCCGGCATGGCCAGGTGGTTAGGGCGCACGATTTGTAATCAGCAGGTCGTGGGTTTGAATCCCAATCCCACCAAAAATGCTTGCCCTTTCAGCCGTGGGGGCATTATAATGTGATGGTCAACCCCATTATTAGTTGGTAAGAGAGTAGCCCATGAGTTGGCTGTGGATGGTGATGACTAGCTGCCTTCCCTCTATTCTTACACTGCTAAATTAGGGACGGCTAGTGCTGGTAGCCCTTGTGTAGCATTGCACGAAATTCATACCAAACCTTATTTTTCCTACATTTGTATTTAACATAACTTAAGTTACATTTTAACCTTTAACATTCTTTTACCCACATTTTCTTTACTGTTTCAGCATGGGCTCGGTTCCCGGGACTGACCTCATAACCATTTTGTACTTGTTATGGTTTTCATGCTATAACTTTTAAATTAGTTAGCATATGTTAACAAAATTTGGCAGATTGTTAGTAAACATTGTCTTGGCTGTGTTTAGTAGACTAGTATTATGTATAT